AACACACAACAGGAACGGAAGGCAACGAGTCTTACACTGTACGTTGATGAGTTGATTTGTCCACGTTATAATATGCCTCTGCTCATAGAGCTTTTTAGATAGATGCCAAGGCTTTTTATGTCGGGGAATCTGCAATCTCTGACCCAGTTTGTTTGCTGGCTTCCATTGCTGCAATAGGGTGTGTTTTCCGCCAACTGGCAACCTGGGGTGTCGAAATACTAGTGATGTATGTCTCGAGACCGGTCTTGGTCTCGAGACCACTTTTACGTTGTCTCGGTCTTGTCACGGCCTTGACGGTCTTTGGTCTTGGTCTTGTCTTGGTCTCGGACCTCTCGGTCTTGTCTAGGTCTTGCTGTCTCAGACCGACATAGTGGTCGGTGGATTTAGCAATACAATACTACAATATCCACGACGATATCCGCAACGGATTGAAGCGCACGCCCGAGTGAAGACAGTGCGGTGTGCGCGAGCCACACGAGAAAACACCGTATCTGCGCCACTTATCGCAGCGGCAACGAGCACTTTGATCACTTGATTTAAAAAACACATATCATGTACAGTTTTTGATGTATTAATATTTAGTAAAACACATATCAGTGACATGATGGGTTTTAACTTCATTCAGGAGATTTTCGGTAACTGCACAACTGACAGATGACTTTGAGCGCACCGCCAACGGTGTGTGTGTGTGTGTGTGTAACCATAGCGACAAAACAACCAACTTTCGGATCCTGCACTAAAGCTTATAATTTCGTTTTTCAAAATATAATTATGTATTTAAAAGTTGCAGAATGGATTAATTTAGAGACTTCGAAATCGGCAGAGATAGGCAGCCAATGCAAAACAAAATCTTAAAAGTTATTGCTTAGCTTCAACAACACTAGTCTGTTTTTTTCCCCTCCGGTCTCCACTTGGTCTCAGTCTTGGTCTCGACTTGGTCTCGGTCTTGGTCTCGACTTGGTCTCGGTCTTGATCTCGACTTGGTCTCGGTCTTGGTCTCGACTTGGTCTCGGTCTTGGTCTCCACTTGGTCTGTCTTGGTCTTGTCTTGGTCTTGTCTTGGTCTCGATACCCTCCGGTCTCGACTTGGTCTCAGTCTTGGTCTCGACTTGGTCTCAGTCTTGGTCTCGACTTGGTCTCGGTCTTGGTCCCGACTTGGTCTTGGTCTCGACTTGGTCTCCGTCTTGGTCTCGACTTGGTCTTGGTCTTGGTCTTGACTTGGTCTCGGTCTTGGTCTCGTCTTGGTCTCGACTTGGTCTCGGTCTTGGTCTCGACTTGGTCTGTCTTGGTCTTGTCTTGGTCTCGATACCCTCCGGTCTCGACTTGGTCTCAGTCTTGGTCTCGACTTGGTCTTGGTCTTGGTCTCGACTTGGTCTCGGTCTTGGTCTCGACTTGGTCTTGGTCTTGGTCTCGACTTGGTCTCGGTCTTGGTCTCGACTTGGTCTCGGTTTTGGTCTCGACTTGGTCTCGGTCTTGGTCTCGACTTGGTCTCGGTTTTGGTCTCGACTTGGTCTCGGTCTTGGTCTCGACTTGGTCTCGGTTTTGGTCTCGACTTGGTCTCGGTCTTGGTCTCGACTTGGTCTCGGTTTTGGTCTCGACTTGGTCTGTCTTGGTCTTGTCTTGGTCTTGATACCCTCTGGTCTTGGTAGTGTCTTGGTCCCGGTATCGGCGGTCGTCTACGAAATACTATTGGGTAAATTGGCAGTGGGCGGGATCACACAGATCAAAACCAAAACAAACATTCTGACACAGAACGCACAAAATAAGAATAACTGGCTGTAGCGTTGTTTTTGAGAGAAACAAGTATGTGAACTTAGCATGTTTCCTAAATATCTGCAAACTTATTATAGTGTCTTTATGCTTTAGTACAGTCTAAATAATTACATACAGCACCTTTAAAGACCTGGGCCCGTATTCATAAAGAAGCTTAATGCAAAGAGTTGCTCCTAGTGACAAAATTCTGAGAAAATTCTTAGAAATGTGGGCGTTTACTCTTAAAATGAAAGAAAAAGTCCTAGTAAAGAAAAAAGTAATTCAGAAAGTATCTTAACCCTTAAAAGAGGTCTTAAAGGGATACTCCACCGTTTTTTCATATTAAACTATGTTATTCTCTTATCTAAGACGAGTTGATACATACCTCTCTCGTCTCAGTGCGTGCACTTAATCGCTCTGTCGGGCGGAGAACTTTGAGAGCAGTTAGCTTAGCCCCATTCATTGTATATGGGCCAAACAGAGATGAAGTTAGAAGCGACCAAACACATCCACGTTTTCTCTATTTAAATATAGTTACACGAGTAGTTACACGACCAAGTATGGTGACACTAAATAAAATGTGGCGCTTTTTATAAGCGGGTAAAATGGATAACTATAATGTATGGCGGAATAGCACTTATTGGGAGCACTTCGACTCGGCGCTGTAATATCTTCACTCGTGAAAAGTCCTCTCCCCCTCTCCCTCTCCCTCTCCCTCTCCCTCTCCCTCTCCCTCTCCCTCTCCCTCTCCCTCTCCCTCTCCCTGATACTTCGTCAACTCTGCACAAAAAACTACTAGGCTACTACTGCAGGCGTGCAGGTCACGTTGGTTCTATTGACGGAAATGAGAGGGAGAGGGGGAGAGGACTTTTCACGAGTGAAGATATTACAGCGCCGAGTCGAAGTGCTCCCAATAAGTGCTATTCCGCCATACATTATAGTTATCCATTTTACCCGCTTATAAAAAGCGCCACATTTTATTTAGTGTCACCATACTTGGTCGTGTAACTACTCGTGTAACTATATTTAAATAGAGAAAACGTGGATGTGTTTGGTCGCTTCTAACTTCATCTCTGTTTGGCCCATATACAATGAATGGGGCTAAGCTAACTGCTCTCAAAGCTCTCCGCCCGACAGAGCGATTAAGTGCACGCACTGAGACGAGAGAGGTATGTATCAACTCGTCTTAGATAAGAGAATAACATAGTTTAATATGAAAAAACGGTGGAGTATCCCTTTAAGGTCAAAATTGTTAGGAGTACGGACGAGGACTTTTAAGAGGCTTAAGAGTTTCTTTAGCAGAGGAGAAAATGGCAGAAAGACGAAGAGGGAGAAGAAATGTGTTGCAGACAATGGATGACAGTGAGTTAATAAGATGCTATAGATTGACACCCGGCCTGAATTTTACTTTACGGATGGCCTTGTGTTCATCCACTAACTGGGCTAACAGTAAACAACTGTTCCTCTGTCCAGTCGGGCTTTCTCGTCCTTCTTGGTTTTGATTCCATGTTTGTTACATTAAAACCAACATTCAAACCACCACTTAAACACTTAGACATGCTAGCAATCAGTGTAATTCGCCTTTGGCTAAGCCCCGCCCCCCTTAGTTACTGTTGCTACGTCCGACAAACAAACTTCATCTGGGCTCTGGTATCAACATGGCTTATGCTGTGACAGCTCTTCCTGCTGAAATTTTATCAAACTTTTATAAAGCAGCAAATAAAGTGTTCGATAGAAGTAGGCAAAAGGTGCTGCAATATATGTTCGAAGGCTATATTTACGACATACAGGTGAAACGCAAGGAACAACAAGGCATCCAAATAGAGGCAAAAGCATACCGGTCACAGTCAAAAAATGAACCACCGCATATCCTACTAATGGAGACGGAGGCTGGGACTAACAATATCAAGGAGCAACACTGTTCATGCAAAGCTGGGTAGGTCTCTATTCACTACTATAATCGTTATTACAAAGCAAACGGACTACGCGAGTATAACGTTGTATTTATTAGCAGCGTGTGCTAGACGACACTTGTCAGGATTTGACTTCGGTTTTGGGAAGGGGAAAAAAGGACACATAGCAACGGGGTCAGCCCCGCCTCCTCACTAAGATGAAAGTTTTTGTCTTTTCCTTACTCAGAGTTGCTCTCAGATTGGTCCCGAATCGCTCTTAATCTAAGACTCCTACGTAAAAGTTTTTAAGCTAAATTAAGAGTTTTCTGAGAGGATTCTTAGAATCTTTATGAATACGGGCCCAGATGACTTTGAACGAACATTATATTGACGTTACTGGACGAACGTTTGTTCATAACTTTGAGAAAACCTCGCCAGAATGTTAGCCAAAGTTCTGAGAACGTTCCCTGTTAGTTGGTATTCACTGATAATCTCTCTAAAGCTTACTTCAAGGTTGCATCCAGATTTTAAAAATGTTGCAGTGCAATTTTTAACTACACATACTGGAAGCAGTGCCTTTTTGGCATCAGTCTACTGTAATGGTGGCCATGCTTGGTAAAAACAGAACCGAAAAGAACTTTATGTAAAGGACACCTCATAAAAAGTAGTTTATGGTTGCTTGTAATACATTTATTGTTGTGTTCTGGACGTGATGTGTGTATGTGGTAGCCGCTCTCAAACTGAGTTTTGTCCAGCCACATCGAACAGTAAAATTAATTCTGCATTGTGTGTATAAAAGCTCTGGATGAAACAGGGTTCTGGCGGTTTTCCCTAATGCTTAGATGGTGTGTCCTTTTTCCCATAACGGACTCCAACGGCAAGCAGACTTTCAGAGTAAAACTGGAGCCAAGCAGACCTGCCAGAATCCTTCGCCCAGAGAGTGATGTTTTGTTGGGAAAGTTTCCTGCTACTTGAGCCTTGAGGACTGTCATGGCTGGAGGGTCTTTTTCGGGAAAGTCTGTGAGTTTCTCGAATGGTTACAGTTACGAAAAACAATGGTGCATTGAGCTCAGATGGTTGTACCATGAGAGAGAGAGTGAGTTTTGCAACAATCACGCACAGGCAGAAAAGACCAGATTAAACCAGTCTAATATGGTCTGCTGGTTTTAGCTCGTCTCCCTGCATAGGTGTTCAGCAGGTTTGCCAAGCTAACAACTGACCAAACCATCAAAAACCCAAGTGGTTTCAACAGCCTGATGAAGTCCAGAAAAATACCCTAGAAGCTTTTGTTGGTTTGCAGGTTTTACACAAACAAAAATGGCTGCCAATAATTTCGATGTATTTTTTCTTTTTATAGAGTTTGTCACATGGAGACACAGGCCGAGGTGACAGACAGCAGAAACTGGTATGGTGCCCTTTCTTACTTCCACACCACACTTCACTTATAACACCCCGAAAACTCCCACAATCCTCCTCTGCTCTTTATTGTCTTCAGGGATCAAGCCTGTATTCTCTAAGGCTTATTGAGAAATTCTGACACTTCCACCTGCAAGCTGCAAGGCTTTGTTGTGTGTGTGTGTGTGTGTGTGTGTGTGTGTGTGTGTGTGTGTGTGTGTGTGTGTGTGTGTGTCTCTCTCTGTCTCTGTTTGTGTGTGTATGTGTGTGTGTGTTAAGGGGTTAAGTCTAAAAGTTGATCAACAATATACAATTATTATTATTATACTAATTTTTACAGTGAAAAAGTATAATAGTAATATTTATTATTTTGTTTAATATTTTTTTTTTACTTAGTAATAGCCTATTTATAATCAAATATTTTCATTATTATTAAATAATATAATTTTTGACCAAATTGTGTTCTTCTATGGTTTAACATAAGTATTAGAAAATATTCAATATAAAATAAATCAAATTAAATATAAAATAATTCAAATATGTATTAGAATTGTTTTTGTTTTTTTACAGTTGTTTTGTAAAATAAAATATTAATAATAATTGTTATTATTATTGTAATACTAATTTTTATTTTACAGTGAAATACAAGTCATATTTGGTTTAGGTTCTGTTTGGAAATTGCATAAAACTTTGTTGTTGTTTTTTTTTATTTGCTTTTTTTTATAGTATTTTAACTTATTACTCTCCATGAAAATTAACAAAGAAGTTGGTATGGTGTTAAAACACCAACCAATTATTATTATTATTATTGATATATAATTAAAAACAAATTGGCCAAATTGGGTTTAATGAAAATGAAGAAGTTAAGACCGCCACAAATTAAACTATTACAGTTCTTGTGTAAAATAAAATATTTTTTCTTAAATAGGCCTACTATTTTTTTTACAATAGTAATATCTCTTATTTTGTTTAATGTTTTTATTCAGTAATAATAATGATAATTATTTTTACCATTATTGCTACTATTATAGTCATATTGATATATAATCACAAAATTCCTAGCCAAATTGTACTGCCCTACGAACCCAGAGTTTTTATTTTTTTTTATTTTGTCACAATCGCAATTTTCATTTGATTTTTCCCCCCCAATCTGTGCAGCCCACAGTAGGTTACGTTAGGTTAGACTGGAGGTTTCTGGTGTCTCATTAGCATGAGATGGGTCTGGTGTCTCAGGGGGCGGAGTCGTGTGTTCTGACATCTTGGCTGACGGACGGGTCAGGTAATCAGCTCTGCTGTAATCGGCTGAACTCCGTCATTCTGTGTTAGAGCTAAACCTTCAGAGAGCCCTGCACCAGTAACCCTGTGCACTTGCCCATACCTCCCCTCACATCCAGGGCCAGCGTCCACGTCAGTGTAGGTCACATCAGCGCCAAGCCAACAGGTGCTTCTGATGATGGGGCAGCGCAGGAAGGCGGAGAAAGGAAAAGTGGAAAAAACTCTGACTTTGTCGAGTGACGTAAGAAGTTGTGGGTGCGTCTCAATCAGCTCCCGAACTTGTGAATCAGTATAACGTGTGCGTAAATCCGGGCACTGGTAAGGATCTTGGTTCACTACACACTGAGATAGTGATTACTCAGTTTCCGTTGACATGACTACATGCAATGTCGAAATACAACGTTACCGCTGGTATTAATCAACAAAAGGCAGGGCCTATATCTTTTTGAAATTATTATTTTTTATGTTGTTAAAACACATTGTTCTGTTACCTATCCTTACAACATTTCAGCCAAATATAATTATAAATGTGAACAAGATGTGTTCACTTCCTGTCCAGCGATGTGATAAAATAAAGTAAAACTGTTTGTCTTTTTAAATCTACTATCACGTGTCATATTTACTGAGTTGGCTCGTGCGTTTTACGTTTCTTGCTTCAGAAATGTGATGTAATTTCTGGTAAGTGAGCAGAGTGAGCATAGATGCTTCCTGGTTTTTGCAGTGCATTGTGGGTTTTTTCAGTTCCAGTGCACTTGAAGAGTTTTGCGATTGAGACAGATCTTATAATAGCCGACCCTCATTAGTGTCCTGACTACTGAACTAGGGAGCTGGTTGAGACGCACCCAGTGAGCATTGATGCTCCCTGGATTTTGCAGGATTGAGACGCACCCTCTGTCTGTGCATCGCAAAGATAAAGCGTCCTGAGAGATTATTCATCCAAATGACACAAGCCAACAAATCCATTACAGGGGCAGTTTTTATGTCAAATTAGAAAACTCAGAAATGTGTTTATGATCTCGCTTAAATTATTCCGGATAAATGAACCGAGCAACGTTTCCGAAAATGAATTAGAAGCTGTTATTTCCTCATTACTTTTATACTGTCATACAACTAAAGGAACTTATGACCATAAAGACGACTTACATCTTTATTAAAATGCATCATAATTACTCCATTTCTTATGCTGATTATAGTTATTAAGGATATATAGAAGCTACAGGAATTAAAGGATTCGGCCCTTTTTGTGATTTGTGGCACATTTTCCACCAAGTCAGAGCCTGTGCAAGCAGCGCTTCAGCCAAAACAGCAGGAAAAATACATATTTCTTACAGCCACAGAGTAAAAAGCCATGCTAAACAATATCTATGGCCTCAATATTCCGATGCTGGACTGGAAATAAAACAGAAAACTCATTTTGTGAGGAGTGTTTGGTCTGTCATATGAGCTGAATTATAAACACACTTAAAGAGGGAGATTCTTCTCATGATGTGATACGGAGATCTGATGCAGAGATGTGGAGCAGCACACAAACATAACATAAATATTACTGCAAATAAAAGTAAATGAAGATTGTAGGCCCGTCACAAAGTCAACCACGATTAAGACTTGTCATGTAGGAGAAATATTTTCAGAGAATATTGACAGAAAGACAAAAGGCTTAATGCATTGTAAGTGCAAAGTGCCCTGTGTGTGTGTGTGTGTGTGTGTGTGTGTGTGTGTGTGTGTGTGTGTGTGTGTGTGTGTGTGTGTGTGTGTGTGTGTGTGTGTGTGTGTGTGTGTGTGTGTGTGTGTGTGTGTAGTTTCTGCATGATTTGATACTGGGTTTTCACAGTACAAACATAGGGCACGAACACTTCCTGTTAGACTGCATGGCCAATTGAATCGCATGCTGAATAAAATGATATGGTGAGACATGAAAACACAAATAATGTGATGCCAGACAGGATTTCGAGTCTGTTTGTGCATGCATATATATGATAAACAGATGGAAATATCATTTTAGCCTTTCTTCTAGCAATATCTCTTTCTGGCCTTGTTTTAGAGAAAATTCCTGATTCTATTCAGATATTATCACACAGATAAATATGGTTTTATGGCAGTATGAATTACCTTAGTTTAATTGTTGTTTTCAGTTCTGTTCAAAAGACTGGGGTCAGTAAGATTTTTTATGTTTTTGAAAGAACCCTCTTATGCTCACCGAGGCTGCATTTATTTGATTAAAAATACATAAATATTATTATAATGTAAAATGAATATATTTTAAATGTAATTTATTCCTGTGATCAAAGCTGAATTTTCCTCCAGTCTTCAGTGTCACATGATCCTTCAGAAATCACTCTAATATGATGATTTGCTGCTCAAGAAACATTTATTATTATTATCAATGTTGAAATCAGTTGTGCTGCTTCATAATTTTGTGGAAATAGTGATACATTTTTCAGGATTCCTCAAAGAATAGAACAGAAAAAAACATATGAATCCTTTGTAACATTATATAAATGTCTTTACTGTCACTTTTGATCAGCTTAATGCATCCTTGCTGAATAAAATAATTCATTTCTATTAAAACAATCACACTGACTGACCCCAAATGAATGGTACAGTATAGTGTACAGTACACACACACACACACATGCAGGCTGGATTTGTGTTTTCAGGTCTCTTCCACATAATTTTATTCAGCATGTAATTCATCTGGCCAGTCTAACAGGAAGTCCTCTTGAGTTCATTCTCTGTATTTGCAGTTACGGTTTGTATTTGATGTGATATTTTGTGAAATATTACATAGGTTACATCCAGATGCAACATTTCCTTCACTGACGTTCAGTTTTTTGTTTGTTTTTTGGACTTCATGTTGAACAGACAAATCCAGAACCAGGTTCCTCTCATAAATGAGGACTCACTATAACTCACATGACTATAAAAAAAACTGTCATGATCCGGCCTTCTTGTCCTTGATTTCCCCTAGTCTTGAGGCTGGATCATGACAGACCCGTGTTTTGTGGACAAGCGCATGGTCTGTTGTTTGGGCCATGTGCTTGTGTTGTCTCGTTATGTAACTCCGCCCCCTTGTTACCCTCGTCTTGTCATTATTGTCTAGTCAGTTTCACCTGTCCTCGTCTTTAGTGTTCCCTATATAATCCCCTTGTGTTTGCTGTCCTGTGTCGGTTCATTGTTTGACATTGTCATATGTTGTGTGTATCAAGCCGTGAGTAACCTGTTGAGAGTCCTGTCTTCAAGAAGTGTCTGTTCCTGTTGTAGCTGTGAGTTTACTGTCTGAGTATTAGTCTTGTTTTGCCCCATCGTGGGTTTTTGTTTTCTGTTTTTGTCCATTAATAAACCCTGTGAGAATCATTTGCTGTCTGCTATTGGGTTCATCCTTCATCCACAACAACGTTCTTTCGAACACAAACACACTCTACCGTCATGGACAGATGGATGGTAAATCAAATGTTTTTGTCTCATCCTTCTACATTTTCATGTTTTTTTTTTTTTTGGAAACACAATCCACTTTAAAAAAATCAACTTTATAAAATAAACATGCTTTGAGAGTAATACTAATTGGCCAAAGACTTATTCATATATTTTTGGGCTTTTTGCCTGTTTTTATAGGACAGTAGAGTGTAGACAGAAAGTAGGGGTGAGAGGGAGTGGGGTCGGGATATGACCCGGGACACAGGGACGGACTGGGGCTAAAAAACAGCCCTGGACTTTCTCCCAAAT